CGACTGATTCTCGACCGACCAGCGACTTCAGTGCGACCATAACAAACAAGTCAGTAATCAGTCGGCAAATACCGACTGTAAGAAATAGTGGCAAAATAGTCGTATATTAGAGACTGATATGTGACTAATACAAAGTCGGTAAATTTCAGTCGTTTATCAGTCGCTAATTGGCGACTGTTTAGTCACTGAAATATTTTGGGTTAAGTTCAGTCGTTAAAAACCGGTACAAAACACGTGAATGGTGTTTCTATGTGGGTGTAACAACTTTTAACGACTAAAAAAATCAGTCGGCAAAATCAGTCGGAAAATAGTATCAAACCAGTCGGCAAATTTCATTATATATACACCATCACCGAGACATTTTATCGTCTCAAGCGTGAAGAAAGAAAAATTATAAACAAAACGTTCGGTCATATAATGGGAGACAATTACAACTACACTAATTTTCGAGATTGGATGTACAAGAGGATCAATGAAGAAACGGGGAACTTCTCGGAAGAATTCATAGCGGGAGTAGAGCAATTCATGACCTTTGCAAATAGTCAGCCTCTAACACAAAGTAATCAGGGTAAGTTCTTCTGCCCTTGCAGTGTTTGCAAAAACGAAAAATTTCTCCAAGGACAACGAATTTTGAAACATATATATAGTAAAGGGTTTATGCTCGACTATTATGTGTGGTACAAGCATGGAGAAGAACTTGACATGGAATTAGGAACAAGTTACGTTGATCAGAGGCATTTTAGTGGTAGTGAAGAAGTTGGTAATGTAGAAGAAGATAGATATGTGGAAATGGTGAATGATGCATTTCGTGATAATGTGAGTTTTGATAACTATCAACATGGTGATGGTTATCAAAATGTAGTAGATTCAGAATGCAACCATCCTAAGAAATTCTACGACTTGTTAGAAGGAGCGAAAAATCCTTTATATGATGGCTGTCGAGAAGGTCACTCGCAGTTATCATTAGCTTCTAGGATTATGCAAAATAAGGCAGATTATAATATGAGTGAAAAGTGTGTGGATTCGGTATGCGAAATGTTGACAGACTATTTACCAGCTGGAAACCAATCTACCGGTTCACATTACGAGACCGAAAGGTTAATGCGTAATTTAGGCCTCCCATACTATACAATTGATGTGTGTGTTAACAATTGTATGATCTTCTGGAAAGAGGATGAAAGGTGGGATAAGTGTCAGTTTTGTGATGCACCAAGATGGAAGCCTAGAAGCGAACGTCGTAGAACCAAAGTGCCATATAGTCGTATGTGGTATTTACCTATTGCTGACAGATTGAAGAGAATGTATCAGAGTAAGAAGACAGCAGCAGCAATGAGATGGCATGCGGAGCACCAAACAAAGGAGGGTGAAATGTGTCATCCGTCAGATGCGGCAGAGTGGAAACACTTTCAAGATCAACATCCCCGGTTTGCCGAGGAACCTCGTAATGTTTATCTCGGCTTATGTACAGATGGATTCAATCCATTTGGGATGTCTAATAATCATTCGTTGTGGCCAGTGATCTTGACACCATATAATCTACCCCCTGGCATGTGCATGGATACAGAGTACCTGTTTCTCACAATTTTAAATTCAGGGCCAAATCACCCGCGAGCAAGTCTAGATATCTTCCTTAAACCCTTAATTGCAGAGTTAAAAGAGTTGTGGTCTACTGGAGTTGAAGCATACGACGTTTCATTGAATCAAAATTTTAATCTTAAAGCCGTGCTCTTGTGGACGATAAGCGACTTTCCGGCATATGGCATGTTATCAGGATGGACGACTCATGGTAAGTTGTCTTGTCCAATTTGCATGGAAGATACAAAGGCTTTTTATCTACCTAATGGAAGGAAGACATGTTGGTTTGATTGTCATCGGAGATTTCTTCCTCATGACCATCCACTAAGGAAGAACAAAAAAGACTTCTTGAAGGGAAAGCACGCTATGAATGAATTTCCACCCGAGTCTTTGACTGGTGAACAAGTTTATTCTGAGCGATTAAAAGGTGTCAATCCACCTAAAACGTCCAAGTGTGGTGGAAATGGCCATGAGAAGAAGAAACCTGGCTATGGGAAGAACCACAATTGGCACAAGGAAAGCATATTCTGGGAGCTTCCGTACTGGAGGGACCTCAATCTTCGACATAATCTTGATGTTATGCATATTGAGAAGAATTTTTTTGACAACATCATGAATACGGTTATGAGTGTGAAGGGTAAGTCGAAAGATACAATCAAGTCAAGATTGGATATAGCACTTTTCTGTGATCGGCAACACTTACATGTGGATAGGCATGGCCAAGCTCCTTTTCCTCCCTACGCACTGGACGAGAAAGGAAGAAAAAGTTTGTTGGATTGTGTGAAAAAATCAGTACAATTCCCAGATGGATATGCATCAGACTTAGCTAATTGTGCCGATATAGAGAAAGGCAAGTTTTCAGGCATGAAGAGTCATGACTGTCATGTGTTTATGGAGAGGCTACTTCCATTTATATTTGCAGAACTCCTAAACGAGAACGTCCATCTTGCATTATCAGGTACTCATTAATTAGTTATATTTTTATGATATATTACAACTCTATGTGTTTATAACTTGTGTTAGTAATTATCTGAAATTTGAATATATATTGCAGCGGTTGGTTTATTTTTTCGTGATCTTTGCTCGAGGACTTTGCAAAAAGATCGCGTAAAAATACTTAAGAAGAACATTGTTTTGATACTCTGCAATTTGGAAAAGATCTTTCCACTATCATTTTTTGACGTGATGGAGCACTTGACTATACATCTCCCTTACGAAGCTGAACTAGGAGGCCCCGTGCAATATAGGTGGATGTATCTTTATGAAAGAAATTTCAAAAAGTTGAAAGCCAATGCAAAGAACAAAAGATATGCGGCAGGTTCGATAGTTGAAGCATATATCAATAACGAGATAGCTTATTTCTCAGAGCACTACTTTGCTGACCATATACAAACGAAATCCAGGTAAATGTTATAATTAGTCCATGTGTATTTACATGCTTTCTTCTAAAATGTGAATTTCTTGTCCTGATATGGGTAGGTTTACAAGATTTGAGGAAGGTGAAGTCCCTGTTTATCATGTTGAAGAAGTACCTGATATATTTACTCAAGTAGGTCGTCCAAGCGGAGAAGTACAAGAAATTTGGCTTTCCGAGAAAGATTATCTATGCGCACATGCTTATGTTTTGCGAAATTGTGATTATTTTCAGCCACTTGAGAGGTATATAAATATATATATATATCATACTTTAATTTCTCTTATTTTAATTCTGTTACTCTAATATAGGATGTTCGAAGATTTTATATCTGCAAAATATCCAGACCTTTCCGAAAAAGAACTCACTACGAAAAGAGCTGATGAATATCATACATGGGTGAAAGATTATGTACGTCTCCGTAATACTATTATAATATTTAATTAATGTACCGTACATAGTTTCAATCTTGTATATATAAATGTGCAGGTTACTTATTGGAGCCAGACACATCCTTTTCCTCCATGGGTTAAAAACATTGTAGACGGACCAATAAATAAGGCCAAATCCTGGCCGATTTATTTCACTAGAGGTTTTCTGTTCCATACCCAAAAGCATGGCGAGGGACGAAAGACTTGTAACTATGGAGTATGCGTTAAAGGAGAGAGTTATATAAATGCAGCTGATGAGTCTCATTACTACGGGATCTTAACAGATATCATACAAATCGAGTACGAGGGGATAGTCAATTTGAAAGTCACACTTTTTAAGTGTAAGTGGTATGATCCTGTTATTGGTAGAGGCACACGACGGAGCAATGGCGGAATCGTGGATGTTCTTTCATCGAGAAAATACTACAAATATGATCCATTTATTCTAGGTACAATTATATATATATATATATATATATATATATGTATATATATATATATATATATATACATATGCATAATACTAATATTTAATTTAATTAATTATATTTTTTTCACAGCATCTCAAGCACATCAAGTTTGTTATATTCCATACCCTTATGTAAGGAAACCAAAGCAGTTATGGCTCAATGTTCTAAAAGTTAATCCGAGGAAAATCATTTCTGGAGAATATGAAGATAAAGATCCGGCGACGTTGCAACAAGAAAACGATGCTGCTGTTTTGATGACCACAGTTGAAGAGATTGAAGTCGAGCATTTGGCATTCACTCAAGTAGAATCGATAAATATTGATTTCGATGTGGGAGATGCAGAACCAGAGGATGAATTCCGATGTAATTTATCGTCTTCAGATGATGATGAAGATGAAGAAGAACCGTACTAAGTTTCTTAGTTAAGTTTATGTGTAATATTTTCTTGTGATATGATGTTAAGAATTTGCGGTTGCCATATGCAGAATTATGTTTTATATATATGTTCTAAACTTTATTTGTCATATGTAATATATAATGTTTGTAATATTATGTTATTTAGATTTAAAAGTTAAGGTTTGAGTTTAGGGATTAGAGTTTGGATTTCGTAGGTACAGTTTGTTTGCCTCCAATAATTTTTAAATCGCATAAATCTTGAAAAAAATATGTTGTATAATTTATTATGTACACTTTTATTTGGAATTTTATTTAAAATTTTGTTTAAAATTTAATGACTGAATTCCTACTAATTACCGACTGTTGAAAAAAAATTCGGTTTTACCTCCAAAAATGATTAAACCGCGAAAACTTTGCATTATAATTTTATGTTGATTTTCATTTTATTTTTCATAAGTAAATTTAACGACTGAAAACCTACTATTTACCGACTGCTGGCCAAAAATTCGGTTTTGCCTCCGAAAGATATGGTACCGCGAAAACCCAAAATATTTAATTTTTTGGCCTAAGCCCGCGAACCCACATGATAATTTAGGCCCAACAATTCATATCTCTCTCAATCTGAGAAAGAGAAACCCTAATCTCTCTCAGTTTTCTCGACGGCTCTCTCATCTTCCTCAATATCTCTCACCAATCTTCAGCGTATCTCTCACCATGACTGGAAAGAGGAAGCGACAGACCCTCAAACCTAATACCTCTAGGGTTTCAAAACGGCCATCTTCTTTACCTCCACAGTATGACTTCTCACCGACGGATCCATCTCAGTCCAGCCCACCGGTTCCTGGGAAACATAATCTCCCCTCTGTTCGTGACTACCCCCCTCCAAGAAATCTGTTTCCGACGATGACCTTTGCTCAGTCTCCTCTCACTCCAGCTGTTGGTACTACTAAAACTCAACAGCGACAAACTCAATCCAGTGAAAATATCAACCCACGTCCACCATCTCAAGTGCCTCCAGCTCGAGCATCTCAAGTTCCTCCATCTCGAGTGTCCCAATCTTCTCCAACCCTAGCATCTCAATCGCCTCCAGCTCGAGCATCTCAAGTTCCTCCATCTCGAGTGTCCCAATCTTCTCCAGCCCTAGCATCTCAATCGCCTCCAGTTCGAGCTTCTCAATCGCCCCACAGTTCTGAAGCACATAATTCTCACATCCCAGAAGAGGAGGAGAATATGTCTGATGTAGAGGCTCCAGAGATTGAACCTAATCTCGCCTCTGACCATATGGAACAGTTGAACTCTCTCCTAAACCAGCCAGTTCGAGGGAGGAATATAACTGTCCTGTCTCCCTACCTTGAACCAGGAACCACATGGTAATTTTTATTCCTTTATTACAATTGTGTTTTATGGGTTTAGCTGCAGTTGTTGATGATTGAGTGTATTGAAAAAACTGTAAAAAAATTAGTTACAATCTGTCAAGAATGTGAATTTGTTGATGATCAGTTATGGTCTTTGCTTGTCTACTTTTGTTTGGCTTAAATAGATTACATGTTTGTTGTTTAACAACTGAAAATTAAATATATCTATATTAACAATGTCATCGTATTGAGTTTGTTGGTATCCTCTAAGTAAGCAGTTTTCTTTAATACTAGTTTAAAAGGAAAGGATAGGGAGTAGACCAGTGAGTCTCTGCGTGCAAGAAGATAGACAGAAATATTTACTACTTATAGAAGTAATCAAACATTCATGTGTTGTGTTGTCTCGTTGGTCTTGATTACTACTATGCTTTAAATTTGTATTGTTGATAATATGTTTGTAGGTTTGGTTATGACAAGTCCAAGTTGACTAGGAAGATTACCAAGGTTTTAAAGAACAAGTTTAATAAGCCTTTCTACAGCTGGACTCGTGTGCCTAGAGACAGACAAGAATGTTACTTTTTGGAATTTGCTGTAAGCTTCTTTGTCTCTTTTCTGTCTTTGAGGTTTTATAATTATTATGCAAGTGTTCGACTCTGTTTTTTTTTAATTCTTTTGATTTTGATGGCTAACTGATGTCTTCTTCTATGTTCATTTGTAGAAAACTCACACATGGCATCCATCATTGACTGGTGTTGTTCAAGAACATTTTGAGGCAATTGCTCTATTACGAATGAAAGACATGGTCAGCGACGTAAGGACTTCTAGGGAGCAACCTAATTGGATACACGACACACTCTGGAAAACAATGACTGACTATTGGGACACTGATGCTGCGGTTTCGAAGAGCTCGATAGCATCAGCAGCTAGAATGTCTGAACGTCAAGGTCTTGGTGTTCACACTCATAACTCTGGCCCGAAGTCTTATATGCAGATCCACCAAGAGATGGTAAGTCCCTACTATTTTTTTTAACATTTTATAGTGATAAGTATGTTTGATTTTTTAACATTTTATTTGCCTCCAAGTATGTTTGATTTTTTAACAATTTATACTGATATTTTCTTCCATTTCACTTTAGGTTGCTGAATTGGGAAGACCAGTGAGCTTTGGTGAAGTATTCATCAGAGCTCATACAAAATCTGATGGAACCTTCAGCGATTTCAAAGCCCAACAAGTTGCTGAGGCTTTCAAGAAGAAAAAAGAAGCTAAGTTGGCGAGCCTTGAGACTGATCAGACCAACACTGAGCATCCACCACTATCAATAGAAGAGGAGAATGAGCTGTTTATTCAGGTTGGGTTTCTTACAGTCAAAGTATATGTCTTATGTTTTTTGTTGTTTTTTCTTGTTGCTGATAGTCTCTCACTATACATTTTATTTTTGTAGGCCACTTTCACCAATGACAGGGGGCATATCTACGGCCTTGGAAGCTTAAAGAACCAGCTTAATGAACTGCCACATGACCCAAGAAGCTTGTCCTCTTTCATGCAATTGCAGCAGCAACTTGAAGAAGCTCAACGCCAAATAAAAGAACAAGCTGCTCTTCTTGCAAAGGCTGAGGAAGAGCGTGCCCAAGCTGCTGCTGCTGCAGCAAAGGTTGAGGAAGAGCGTTCTATACTTATAGCTACTCAGCAGTCTACAATTGAAGAGTTCTCACTAGTTAAGAAGTACTTAACCATCACAGACCAGAGATTCTTGGACTTTGTCTCCCAAGAAAGAGCTTCATCTGATTCCCATCATGTTTAGGTCTTGCCTTCTTTGCCTTTCACTTACTCTCTTTTGGATGTGTGATAACTTGTAAACTCTAAGTGTTGGATGTTTGAAACTTAAAACTCCCAAGTCTGGAGTTCTTTTGGTTGTTTATGGAAAACGTTTTTAGTAGTTATTAATAATAGTAGCAGATTTAAATAACAAATCATGAACAACAAAAAAAAAACACCAAAAGAATGTATTTATGATATTTTCGACTGAGTCACTAATCAGTCACCAATTCAGTCGGAAAGTTTTAAACCAACTGAGTCACTAATCAGTCGTCATTCGGTCGTAGAAATATACCGACTGTTTATCTACTAATAAAATTAGTCGTTAAGTCAGTCGTTAAGTCAGTCGTTAAGTCAGTCGGTAAGTCAGTCGTTAAGTCAGTCGTTAAGTCAGTCGTTAAGTCAGTCGTTAAGTCAGTCGTACTATAGTAACTAAATGAGTCGTAAGCCAGTCGGTAAATTGCCTACTGATTAACGACTGATTTTACGACTGCCAAAATAGTCGGAAAACAGTCGGTATTTACCGACTATTTGCCGACTAAATTATTTACCGACGAGGTGTAATACGACTGCTATAATCAGTCGGAAATCAGTCGGAATGACCATTTAGCGACTGAATGCCGACTCATATCGTAGTCGGAAACAACCTGTTTTCTTGTAGTGTGATTATATCACTCATTGACTCCAAAGTCTTGAACTTTTTCTAGAACCCATTTAACAATTCAATTAAGGCAACATAACATTTTAAAAGATTTGGCTCAAAAAGACATCAAGATGTAAAACATCATCAATGAAAAAGAAGGGAACATAACATACCCTCATCAATGTCAACAGCCACAACAATCTTATCATTCCGTTGGAACCTTGTCGTCTCACCAACTCCACGTTCATCCGCTAAGTCGGTGACTCCACCACTGCCGCGTTGTTCTTCCCTCGGGCCATGGAGAAGCAGACGATGTAGAGATAAAGCTCGAGCCTTTGGATCAGCTTTCTTGTGAGGAGAAGCCGACGATCGCCAATTCTCGAACACGGCTACACACGCGAAGAAGAACAACAGATCTTCTCTCTCGACGGTGATTTTGACTGTATTTTGGTTGGATTTCGCCGGAGAAGAAGAGATTCCAAAAGCAAAGGGAGAGAGAGATGAAGAGACGAAGAGCCGACAGAAGAGGTGCCTCTTCCGTAAGAGAACGAGACACTCGCCTTTTACCTATTTTCTTTTTTTTTTTTCATATTTTTTTAATTACTTTTTGGGCTTAAGAGCTCATTCCTTTTGGGCGTTAAAAAATGGTCATAGAAACATCTATCTCTATAATATTACTAGTTGCATATTCCCCGCGCAAGTGCGGGGCCGGGATCATTATGTTTGCGTGTATTTTTTTCGATTGTTGGTTTAGTGGATTCTTCTAATGACACCAATTAATAATGAAATGGAAAATTTCATGTTTTTATATCGTATGTCAAAACTTGATATAATTCTATATTTATAGTATTTATATTTGTATTAAACGATTTATCAATATGAAAATAATCTTAATTAAGTTAATATTCGTTGTTTAAGTTTCATTAGATAGGTTTTTATATATGGTTTTTTGTAAGTTTCGGTTTTGTTCATAAATGATGTGGCATTTTTGTCTACGGAGTCATCAACTGTGGGAATTCATTCGCCAAAATCTGGAGTCGGTGGTGAGAAATGTTTTCAATGAAATTATAGTAGTTATTAAAATGTAAGAGAAATTACATATTCATTTAATAAATAACTTACTTAAATTTTGTTGTTTATTTTATTTTTATTTCACATACAATTTTTTTTGAAAAATATTAGGAATGTGTTAAATGTCATTTATATGAGAAGTAAGGTTTATAGGAATAGTTAGGCTATAATATAGTTTTTAGTGTGTAAAAGTAGGTGTATTTTTTTTTGCTGTAAATAGTTTTTATATCGTAGATCAAAACTTGATATAAAACGATTTATCAATTTGAAAATAACCTTAATTAAGTTAATATTCGTTGTTTAAGTTTCATTAT